TTCTGAGGCAGGCCTGTAGAGCTATGAACTTCCCTCTCAAGACTGCTTTCACTGTGTCTCATAGATTTTGGATTGTAGTGTTTTCATTGTCATTTGTTGCCATGATGCTTTTTGTCTTTTTTGATCTTTCTGGTAACCCAGTCATTTAATAGCATGCTATTTCGCCTCCAGGTGTTTGATTTTTTTAATTGTTTTTATTGTAGTTGATTTCTAGTTTTATGCCATTGTGGTCTGAGATGGTGCTTGATATTATTTCTGTCTTCTTGAATTTGAAGAGACTTTGCCTGTGACTCAATATATGGTCTGTCTTTGAAAATGAATCGTGTGCACTTGAGAAGAATGTATATTCTGTAGCTTTGGGGTGAAATGTTCTGAAGATATCAATTAGTTCCATCTGATCTAGTGCATCATTTAGGATTAATGTTTCTTTGCTGATTTTTTGTTTAGAGGATTTGTCCAATGGTGGTAGTGGGGTATTAAAGTCCCTTACTATGACAGTATTGCTATCAATCTCTCCCTTGATATCCTCTGAAAGTTTTTTATGTATTTGGGTGCTCCTGTATTAGGTGCGTATATGTTTACCAGAGTTATATTTTTTTATTGGATTGCTCCCTTTAGTATTATGAAGTGGCCTTCCTTATCTCTTGTTATGTCCTTCACTTTGAGATCTAATTTGTCAGATATAAGTATTGCTACTCCTGCCCTAACCGGTTTGGCTCAGCGGATAGAGCGTCGGCCTGCAGACTCAAGGGTCCCAGGTTCGATTCCGGTCAAGGGCATGTACCTTGGTTGCGGGCACATACCCAGTAGGGAGTGTGCAGGAGGCAGTTGATCGATGGTTCTCTTTCATCGATGTTTCTAACTCTCTATCCCTCTCCCTTCCTCTCTGTAAAAGATCAATAAAATATATTTAAAAAAAAAAAAGTATTGCTACTCCACCTTTTTTTTCATTTTGGTTATGTAGTTCTCTCTCTCCATTATCTAGGCGAAATCTGACCTTTCCATGAGGAGGAGCAGGGCTCGTCCGAGTCCATGTATTCGTGCTGCTTGAGATCTTGTGTTCCTGGGTTCATAGCTGGTCCCTGGCTCTTTACCACCGTTTTTAAATCCACTCATCTTCTGATGGGCACTTAGGCTGTTTCCAAATCTTAGCTATGATAAATTGTGCTGCTATGAACACAAGGGTGCATGTATCCTTTCTGATTGGTGTTTCCATTTTCTTGGGATATAGACCTAGCAATGGGAATACTGGGTCAAATTGGAGCTCCATTTTTAGTTTTTTGAGGAAACTCCATACTGTTCTCCACAGTGGCTGCACTAGTCTGCATTCCCACCAGCAGTGCACAAGTGTTCCTTTTTAGAGAAGACATTTTTGGTCTTTTAAGAAAGTAAGACTTCTAATTACAACTAAATTAACTTAATTGCAAA